CTCCTTTGCCCTGCTGGCTCCGTGGCTGCCGTCTCCCCTTCGACAGCTACCGGGGCCGAGGCCGTGGCGCCTGTTCCCCCTCTGTCCTGCCGGCAGCACCGTGGGCAGCAGGGGACCGAACGGAGCATCACCCATCACCCTGCAGCTCGCTGGCTGGTGGCGCGCTGCCCTGAGCCTGCCCAGGGGGAGGTTCCATTGCACGCACACCACAAAGTTTCCTTGCATGGTAACAGATCTCGGATCACCTTTTTCCAGATAATGGGGGGGCGGGGGGCTGTCAGGACATGCCCTAGCAGATGATAAAGAATTAGCACCTGAGATAGAAACAGAGACAGCGTGTTTCACTCCGCACCTTGATGTGTTTGTTACCCATTTCGGTGTTGTTCAAACTTTCAGAGCAAACCTGTCAGCAAGGGTTTGGCCTGTGCCTGCCGTTCCTTACACGCGGGAGGCACTTTCCCAGGGTTGCGTCCCTCAGCGAGTTTCTACTGAGCTGTGAATTGCTGTGGAAGGCGCTGGGGAGAAGCTGCCCCACAGGGGAAACCCAATGACTCCTAATTAGCTCTTATTCATGGCATTAAAAGCACAATGAAGCGATATTGTTTGAGGCAAACACAAGGCACTGACCCTGGCTTTTCACACCAGCCCTCACCACACTGGGTTACTGCGGGCGCTCCTTGTCCACTCCTAACATATAATTTCGCCTCCCTTCCTATGTGAACCGGAGGAGTTCAGCCCTTTCTTTCCCCCTGCAGCGCAGCTGAGGGAGAGATAGCATCTACGGCATGCTTCCTGCTGGAGCGGCCTCCGATAGCATCTCCTGAACGTTGCCATGTGTTTTTTTACTTTTATCTCAAGGGAATTTATTGTGGGTGAGTGTTTCAGGAGAGCCTGGGAGACTGAATTCTTCTGGTAATAGCTGAAGCGGTGCGTGCGCCTCTGTGGGATGACGCCCCGCTGACAGAGCCAGCGCAAGGGGAACTTTGCACGAAGGGTTTCTCTTGGAAGAGTGGGGCCAGTTTGGAGATTCCCCTTTGGGGATTCCCCTTTAGCAGCTCAGCCAGCCCCAGGGCGACACTGAGTGTCAAAGAGCATTGAGCAGAAAAGACCAGAAAAAGCTGATATTGCAGGACAAGCTCCAGATCTCATCTGGGCTCCTGTGCCAGCTGTAATGAAGGAGCTTAAACACGGGCTGAGGCCATGATAATACAGAAAGAGAAGCCCCGGGCCCAGGTGGTCCCTGCCTGGGGGGCAGCGGTGGGGTTTGCCCGGGTTTGGGGCAGTTGTTGCCTTCAGGCTGCCTCGAAACTTGGCCTAAAATGTGGGGGTGACCTGGGCAGGAGGACAGAACTCACAGCACCGTTTTTGGCCCATGTGAGGGGCTCGTGGCCAACATGGGAGTCGCCTGGAGCAGGAGGGTGTTCGCTGGAGTGAAGGTGAGCAAAGCGAGCGCATCTGGAAGGGCTCAGAGCGAGGGTGGCCAAGGCACGGCACCTGAGCGCAGCTCCCACACGACGGCCCTTGGGCAATCCCGTACCCCCCACTACGAGGGAAGCGGGCCAGCAGGAGCGCTGATCCTCACCCTGCCGGGTTGCCCCAGGATTTCGCTGCAAGCTGAGCACTGCCATCTGCACGCTCTGCCGTTTGCCAGCCAGGGGGTTCCTCCCCAGTCCCCTCCTTCCCCCCAGCTCTCTGAGGGACAGGGCACGCGTGCATCCCAAACTCTCAGATTTTGCAGTTTGGGGAGTCAAAAATCCCAACCTGAAGCCAATCGTTTCTGGGGCAGTGCTGCCCAGCGAGTAGATCCCTCAACCAGGAGGATCTGGAGTCTGTCTCTGGTTAAGCCGCTTCCTCGGTGGCCGCCCAGAAAAAATCACACCACCTCTCCTGGAGCTGCTGAAGAAAGAGAACGTGACTCCCTATTAAGTCCTTGAGATCTAACAGCGATGCAGATAAAGCGTTGTTGTTATTGTGTCCTTCAGGGAACAGATGAAAGAAAGGAAGCCCTGTGAATTACCAAGGGTGAGGCTCTGGGAACATCTGAGCAACTCCAAAATCACTTAAGTGCATTAGAATGTGAAAACAGCCAGAGGGGCCCTGGGAAGGAAGGAGATCACCACAGGAGAGAAAGCACAAAAGGGTTCCTAATCCCTATAACTCTCTTTCACTACCTCACAGGCACCTCTGCTAAAAGAAAAAATAACTTCACTTATCCGAGAATGACATCGCCGGAGCCAGGCAGGCCGGCAGGTTGGGTGTGCGATTTTCCACTGCTAACTGCAAGACCTGGCGCCACATCAGTAAAGGTTTTTTTTTTCCCCCCCCCGACAAAGAATGAAAGCGCAGTGTCTCCCTGGTTCTCTGCTGCTTTTTTCACGCTAATACCTGTCCAGCTGCATTGCTATAATCACTGCGCTCAATCCCTTAATAGCACGGTGCAGGCGTGGCTAGCGGGGAGGCTGCATCGCCTCATCCCTGTACATCTCTGCTGCTGTGTCCTGTTGGAACCCTCTGCTTCGCAGGCGGCCGCGGCGTTCCTGCCCCTCACTGCCGTGTCTCTTGCACTTTGCCCACCAGTCCTTTCGGGACAGGTGCTGCTGGTCCTGCTGAGTGATGCTGGCATTGTGCCTCGCAGCTGCAAATGTGTAGGAAAAAGCCCATCTGCATGGAGGCATCAGCACGGAGAAGAGCTGGTCATACCCCTCGCGTCAGGAATTGCACGTCACGTGTCCTGGCAGTGGGGGTCTAATGTAGCTTCAAATGCTCTTCCTCTGATTTAGACACTTTGAGCATTAAAACCTGCCTCAGCAATGACACAGAAGAAATTGTGGCATAGAAGTGTTTAGCTCCTACAGATCTTTCAGAAGTCACGGACTGCTTCTGTGGAGTTTGTGAAGGGCGACACAGCAAAGCAGGTGCCACGGAGGCACGTCAGGTGTCTGCCTTTAAACTGACTGAAAAAGCACTGCTGCAGGGACTTTCCAGTCTCTGTAGACCAGTACGTAAGCAGAAATCACTGGAGTTTCTTCTCTTTTGAGCTACAAGATTTCTGCCAAATATGGTGTCAGTATACAAATGCAACCAGGTCTGTGCTTGTCCTGGAGCGAGGTCCTGACGGGAAAATTTCCGTCTGGCTTTGGGTCAGCCCGTATAAAGATTATGGATGTGCAGAGCTCTTAAGTCAGCAGCTTTTGTTGGTTTTAGACTCTTTAAAAAAGCAAATAAATAGATTTGTAGATTTTTAATGATAAAAGACACTTGTGAGTGACTTGGCATATCACAGAGGATTCAATTGTGTTCCCTCACGCAGGAGCAGTGGGGGAGCGGGGGCGAGCGCCCGCGTCTCAGGTACAGCCACAAAACACTAAAGAGTCGCCGTAAGCGAGCAGCCCTCGGTCTGAATCACGCTGGGTGCTGGGAACCAAAGCGGAAGGAGAAGATCCTGTGTGTGCCATAGCGCTTCCAGTGGGATGTGACAAAAGACATGAAATCGGGGAGAGAAAAATGATGATTCTGGAATTTGGCTCTGGCTGCCAGGGGTGACGAAAAGCACCGGCAACGCCTCCCACCCGGGCTATAAAGGGCTCCCAGGCAGGGGGAGCGAGCACTCGCTGTCTGCACTGCCGAGCCGGGTGTCTCTCCCAGCCCTCCAGCCGCCACCAGCCTTCACCATGAGCATCACTGGCAGGCAATACTCCTCCTCCACCTCCCTCAAGGGCCTCGGTGGCCTGGGTGGAGGCTCCAGCAGGCTCTCCTCCGTGCGTGTCGGGGGCGGCGGGTACAGAGCCCCCAGCGTCCACGGAGGCCGCGGCAGGCACCCCGGCTCTTCCCCCGGTTGCCCCG